CCTGGCACCCAGGATCCACACATGGCAGCTGTGATGTGTGGAAGGGCCAGAGGTGAAGGAAGAACCTCCCCCTACCAATATCTCTCTTCAGTTCCAAGGGTGGAACAGATAGTGGCCATCGAAAGAGCTGAGGGCAGCAGGAACAAAATACCACAGGTAAACCACGGCTTACCACCTGTTGCCCACCTTTTAGAGATCAGGCAGTGAACAAAGGATGATGGCATCACAGAAGTTAAAAAAAAAACTCCATGTCTTCAATTCTGTCCACACTCTTAAACTCTTATATTTAGATATGGAGAAAATAGATTAAAGGCAAACATATTTTGCAGGCCAGGCGCAGTGGCTCACGCCTGTAATCTCAGCACTTTGGGAGGTCAAGGCAGGTGGATCACCTGAGGTCAGGAGTTCAAGACCAGCCTGGCCAACATGGTGAAACCCCATCTTAAAAAAAAAAAAAAAAGGGCCGGGCGTGGTGGCTCAAGCCTGTAATCCCAGCACTTTGGGAGGCCGAGGCGGGCGGATCACAAGGTCAAGAGATCGAGACCATCCTGGTCAACATGGTGAAACCCCGTCTCTACTAAAAATACAAAAAATTACCTGGGCATGGTGGCGCGTGCCTGTAACCCCAGCTACTCAGGAGGCTGAGGCGGGAGAATTGCCTGAACCCAGGAGGCGGAGGTTGTGGTGAGCCAAGATCGCGCCATTGCACTCCAGCCTGGGTAACAAGAGCGAAACTCCGTCTCAAAAAAAAAAAAAAAAAAAGGCAGGCCGGGCACAGTGGCTCAAGCCTGTAATCCCAGCACTTTGGGAGGCCGAGGCGGGTGGATCACGAGGTCAAGGGATCAAGACCATCCTGGTCAACATGGTGAAACCCCATCTCTACTAAAAATACAAAAAATTAGCTGGGCATGGTGGCTCGTTCCTATAATCCCAGCTACTCAAGAGGCTGAGGCAGGAGAATTGCCTGAACCCAGGAGACGGAGGTTGTGGTGAGCCGAGATCGTGCCATTGCACTCCAGCCTGGGTAACAAGAGTGAAACTCCGTCTCAAAAAAAAAAAAAAAAAATTAACTGGGCATCGTGGCATGTGTCTGTAATCCCAGCTACTCAGGAGGCTGAGGCAGGAGAATTGCCTGAACCCAGGAGGCAGAGATTGCGGTAAGCCGAGATTGCGCCATTGTACTCCAGCCTGGGTAATAAGAGCGAAACTCCATCTCAAAAAAAAAATAAAATAAAAAATAAAAATTTTTAAAAAGGCAAACTTATTTTGCTGTTTTTTGTCTGGCTGTGGTTATCTGTTTTCTTGAATGGTGACTGCACTCCTGTGTGCTCCTGTGGTGACTGCACAGGGTCTCAGGCATATGCCTGCCTCAGCCTCTCAAAGTGCTGGGATTACAGTTGTGAGCCACTGTGCCCGGCCAAAATCTTCTGTATATCGAATTGTAACCAGGCCAGGTGCAGTGGCTCATGCCTGTAATCCCAAAATTTTGGTAGACCAAGGTGGGCAAATCATGAGGTGAGGAGTTTGAGATCAGCCCGGCCAATATAGTAAAACCCTGTCTCTGTTAAAAATACAAATATTGGCAGGAGAATCACTTGAACCTACGAGGCAGAGGTTGTGGTAAGTCGAGATCATGCCATTGCACTTCAGCCTGGGTAACAAGAGTGAAAGTCCATCTCAAAAAAAAAAAAAAATATATATATATATATATATATACACACATATATATACACACACAAATATTACCTGGGTGTGGTGATGTGCACCTGTAGTCCCAGCTACTCAGGAGGCTGAGGCAGGAGAATTGCCTGAATCCAGGAGGCGAAGGTTGCGGTTAGCCGAGATCCCGCCGTTGAACTCCAGCCTGGGAAACAAGAGAGAAACTCCGTCTCAAAAAAACAAAAAAACAAAAAAACAAAAATTAGTTGGGTGTGGTGGCAGGTGCCTGTAATCTCAGCTACTTGAGAGGCTGCGACAGGAGAATGGCTTGAACCCGGGAAGTGGGGTTGTGGTGAGCTGAGACTGTGCCACTGTACTCCAGCCTGGGCGACAGAGTAAAACTCCATCTCAACAACAACAATAACTACCATATCTGTAATACTGTATTTGACAGTTTTATAACTTGTCTAGTGAAATAAGTGTCTTTATTATTGGAGACTTTTTCAGAAATGCTCCATGAGCAAAACATATTTTCTAATAGCCTTTTAGCTGCGAATATAACATCTGACTTTTCACATGAGAAAACTTTTTTTGTTTTTGAATAACAACTAATATTGTTGTTGTTATCTGTTTTCTCGAGTGGTGACTGCACTCCTGTGCACTAGAGAAAACAGATAACAACAACGTTGGAATTCATTCCTTTGACACATTCCCATTACTATTATTATTATTATTATTATTATTATTATTATTTTTAGAGACAGGGTCTTGCTATGTTGCCCAGGCTGGAGTGCAGTGGCTATTCATAGGGGCGATCCGACTACTGACCAGGACGGGAGTTTTGACCTGCTATGTTTTTGACCCGGGCCGGTTCACCCCTCCTTGGGCAGCCTGGTGGTCCCCCGCTCCTGGGAGGTCACCATATTGATGCCGATCTTAGTGTGGACACCCGATCAGCATAGTGCACTGCAGCCCAGAGCTCTGGGGCTCAAGTGATCCTCCCACCTCAGCCTCCTGAGTAGCTGGGACTACAGGCACGCGCCACTGCGCCTGACTCCATTACTTTTTTATTTTATTTTATTTTATTTTTATTTTTTTTTTGAGACGCAGTTTCGCTCTTGTTACCCAGGCTGCAGTGCAATGACACGATCTCGGCTCACCACAACCTCCGCCTCCTGGGTTCAAGCAATTCTCCTGCCTCAGCCTCCTGAGTAGCTGGGATTACAGGCACGTGCCACCATGCCCAGCTAATGTTTTGTATTTTTAGTAGAGACGGGGTTTCACCATGTTGACTAGGATGGTCTCGATCTCTCGACCTCGTGATCCACCCGCCTCGGCCTCCCAAAGTGCTAGGATTACAGGCTTGAGCCACCGTGCCCGGCCTTCCATTACTTTTTTAAAGAGCTTAAAAAAAAATTTTTTTTTTTGAGCACCTTGGCTCATGCCTGTAATCCCAGCATTTGAGGAGGCTGAGGTAGGCAGATCACCTGAGGTCAGGAGTACAAGACCAGCCTGGCCAACATAGTGAAACCCATTTCTACTAAAGATACAAAAAATTAGCCAGGTATGGTGGCATGCACCTGTAATTTCCGACACTCAAAAAACTGAGACAGGTGAATCACTTGAACCTGGGATGCAGAGGTTGCAGTGAGCCGAGATTGCAGCACTGCACTCCAGCCTCCAGCCTAGGCAACAAAAGCAAAACTCAGTCTCAAAAAAAAAAAAAAAAAAAGTATATACATATATATATAGGCTCTGCAAGATACTCTACATAACCTATGAATTATCTGATAAGAACAAAAACTGAAAACTTTGGAAACTGGGAGATGTACTAAGACCCTGAGTTTTGGTCATACTATGACCTACATGAGAGCCTAACCAAATTGGAGAGTTTTTTTTTTTTTTTTTTTGAGATGGAGTTTCGCTCTTGTTACCCAGGCTGGAGTGCAATGGCTCAATCTCGGCTCACCGCAACCTCCGCCTCCTGGGTTCAGGCAATTCTCCTGCCTCAGCCTCCTGAGTAGCTGGGATTACAGGCACGTGCCACCATGCCCAGCTAATTTTTTGCACCATTAGTAGAGACGGGGTTTCACCATGTTGACCAGGATGGTCTCGATCTCTTGACCTCGTGATCCACCCGCCTCGGCCTCCCAAAGTGCTGGGATTACAGGTTTGAGCCACCGTGCCCGGCCTTTTATATACTTTATTAATAATTACATCTTTCTCACACATTAAAATGATAATATTATGGACATATTGGGTTGATTACGTTGTTACAATCAATTCAACCTTAATACATGAGGTTCTATTATCAGGTGCATAACCTATCCAATGACTTTATAATAGTCATCACATTTTTTTCACTCTCAGTGAGTCTGATTGTCATCCGTCTCAATTACAAAAGAAATCCTGTCAATTTATTTAGCTTTGCTTAATACTATTGTATCTGGACTAGGTGTGGTGGCTGGCTCCTGTAATCCTTTTTTTTTTTTTTTTTTTTAAAGTTTGGATACTAGAAAATTTAAAACTCACATGTGGCTCTCATTTTTTTATTTTTTAAAGTCGGGGTTTCACCATGTTGGTCAGGCTGGTCTTGAACTCCTGACCTCAGGTGATCCGCCCACCTTGGCCTCCAAAGTGCTTGGATTACAGGCCTGAGCCACCATGCCCGGCTGTGGCTCTCATTTTATTTCAGAGGATTGCCTCCTTTCTAAAACCTCAGCCTGCCTGCTCAAAGACCAGAAGCCAGGAAGGTAAAAAAGCTGAAATTTAAAAATAATTGTTGGCCGGGCTCGGTGAGGTCAGGAGTTCAAGACCAGCCCGACCAACATGTTAAAAACCTCGTCTTTATAAAAAATAAATAAATAAATAAAAATAAAATAATAAAAAAAATAATTATTGTATCCTTTTCATTTGTTTATAGCCATACAAAATATTATTTTAAAATGCATGTGACTTTACACACAAGTTTAAAGGTTAATACTTTCTGTGGTGGGCCGGGCTCAGTTCAGGGAGAAAGCGCCTGCCTGAAAAGGCTGCATCATAGGCTGTCAGTTTCCTTCACTCGCCCTAGAATGTTATCTTCTGTCACTCAGGGCCTGAGAAGGTGGGGTTTTAAACGTTATCGAATCAGCGACGCTGGGCTGGGACTCATCCAATCAGGCACGCAGCTGGAGCAGACAGGAAGGCTTCCGGGATGTGGCGGGGCCTTTGTCTCTTGCTGCAGCCGGAGCTCCGGGTCTGGTTTTCTCTTCTCTGTGTCTTCGGCTCCTAGAAGCCCAGCCTCTGTGGCCCTGTGACCTGCGGCTTTTGGGCGATCCACAGCTACAACGCCAGGAACCCCTGGAAGTTCAGAAATGGTGAGCATGCCAGTCCGACATTCCGAGAAAAGGGAAGGGGTTGGTTGGAACCGATGGGAAGTGGCTGTGGCAGGACTCGGGCCTCCCCGCAGTCAGCTCCACAATCTGTGCCCCGAGTTCTTTGCCCGGCTCAACCTCAGTCCCCTTCAACCATAAGATGGCGGCTGTGCTTACAGCCGTTCCTGGTGTACTGTCTCTTGCCTGTGCACTGACTGTGCCCTGGTCTGGAGTCATCTCTGAGAAGCTCTGCACCCGCAGCATCGCATCTCTTCCAGATTGTGCAGGGACCACAAGAGGGTACTCAGGGGAGAATCCTGACTCCGGGTGCGGGTTCCATGAGTGTGAAGAGTTTTGGTCTGTGGGGTTCCCAGTTCCTCTTTTCTTCTGTTAATGTATGGGAGTCACCCTAAAAACATTAAATAATTTAATCAAAGTGATTCAAAAATTTTCGAGCAACCAGCTGTCGTTTGTAATTTGTGGTTCATAGACGGGGCTCCAAGGAAAGAGTTTTATAAACTGCATGATGAAGAAAACAAAATTCAGTAATTGGTTAGGTACAGTTATGTAGTTTCTTCATTTGTGTAATAAAGGTGAAAATGTCCTGATTATGTAATCAGAGTTTACTTGGCAGTTTATAGTTGGTTAAGGCTGAATTTTATTTCTCTCAATGTAGTTATTTACTAAAACATGCACCCCAGTTAGATTTTTTTAAAAGTACGAATCCAGGGACTCGAGACACCTCAGTCTAATTGCCTGTCACTTAATTATTTTCACACTCCGTGGGAAACTGACTTTCTGTTGCATTTTTCCACCTGTGTCCCAAGCAGTATCTTAAATGTAACCTCTATCCTCCCTTTCTCCAGCCTCACTCTGGCTTGTAGTTAGATACTAAATTTCCAGTTTCATCTGGCGTTCCTAAATGCCAGCTTGTCCTCCCTAATTTACAGTATCAGCTATTTGTCTCTTAGGGTACTTTTGTATTTCATATTTTAGTTAACTTTTTTGCAAAGCAATAAATGATGGTTTTAAAAAGATTTATCTGTTTGTAAATATTACCCATGAGAAGAAAGCAAAGAATAATCCCCTGACGTTGTATTGTAAAAAGTCTCTGTGCCTCTTCTCCATATATCTTCTCTAGGCACAGAGGTCTTGTTAGAATGTTTTCGGTCAAGGTTATCTTTTGGAATCTTTATGACGTGATGTGTCCTCAGCCACCCTTTAGTTTTTTTCTGGTCCTGGGTTTCAGTACTGTCTGGGATAAACCAAGATATCCACCATGGTTATGTCAGCTAAAGAGCCTAGGGAATATCAGCTTCTGGGTTATTTTCTCCCATAGGATGACCTGAGGTATAAAATGTATCCTCTCAAGGAAGCAAGCGGATGCCCTGGGGCTGAGAGGAATCTTCTGGTGTATTCTTTTTTTTGAAAAGGTAACCTCTGAGACATTAAAATTGTCTACATGAAACCCAGCTTTTACTTCTTGGGCACACATTGCTGCTCAGCCAATCAGATGCTGATACTGAGGGGAAAACACTGAAATAATCTCTGCCCCCTGGATTCTCTAAGAGTTCAGAAAGATAATGAAATAAATATGATGAAAGAAAAATAGTGTCCCAAAAGGCCAAACCAACAACCAAAAAGTGACTCCAGTGAGATGGCGTAAGAACTTACAAAGTAAAATGCCCCTAGGGCAGCCACTGGGGCATAATGCAGTGTCTCCTGAATGTGTGGTTCTTGAGCACATAAGTGAGCAGGAGTGAGTGTCGGAATCTCTCAAGTGATTGAATGGCCTGACTTGAAACATAAGTCAGACACATCTGTTTTTTAATCAGCACTGCCTAGGTTTGTTACCCTGGGTTTTTCACCTTGAAAAAATTTGTTTACTGATTTTGACCTCAGTTTTTTAGCTGTAAATTGCATTATATTAGTAGGTCTTGAAAGGTAGAATTTTTTTTTTTTTTTTTTTTTTTTTTGACACGGAGTTTCGCCCTTGTTACCCAGGCTGGAGTGCAATGGCGCGATCTCGGCTCACCGCAACCTCCGCCTCCTGGGCTCAGGCAATTCTCCTGCCTCAGCCTCCTGAGTAGCTGGGATTACAGGCACGTGCCACCATGCCCAGCTAATTTTTTGTGCTTTTAGTAGAGACGGGGTTTCACCATGTTGACCAGGATGGTCTCGATCTCTCGACCTCGTGATCCACCCGCCTCGGCCTCCCAAAGTGCTGGGATTACAGGCTTGAGCCACCGCGCCCGGCTTAATTTTTTTTTTTTTAGACGGTTTCACTTTTGTTGCCAGGCTGAAATGCAGTGGCAAGATCTCATCTCACTGCAATCTCTACCTCTCAGGTTCAAGTGATTCTACTGCCTCAGCCTCCTGAGTAGCTGGGATTACAGGCACAAACCACCATGCCCGGCTAATTTTATATATATATATTTATATACATATATTTATATATAAATACATATATATTTATACATAAATATATATGTATATTTTATATATAAAAATATATATGTATATATAAATATACGTATATTTATATATATATGTTATATAAATATATATATATATATTTTTTTTTTTAGACGGAGTTTTGCTCTTGTTACCCAGGCTAGAGTGCAATGGCGCAATCTCGGCTCACCGCAACCTCCGCCTCCTGGGTTCAGGCAATTCTCCTGCCTCAGCCTCCTGAGTAGCTGGGATTACAGGCACGAGCCACCATGCCTAGCTAATTTTTTGTATTTTTAGTAGAGACGGGGTTTCACCATGTTGACCAGGATGGTCTTGATCTCTCGACCTCGTGATCCACCCGCCTCGGCCTCCCAAAGTGCAGGGATTACAGGCTTGAGCCACCGCACCCGGCTATATATATATATATATATATTTTAAATAAAGATGGGGTTTCACCATGTTGGCTGGGCTGCTCTTGATCTCCTGACCTGGGATAATCTGCCTGCCTGGGCCTTTCAAAGTGCTGGGATTACAGGCATGAGCCACCACACCCAGCCATTAGGAGAATGTTTACAGAGGGCATAAAAGAGGTTGGTTTTAGGAAAAAAAAAAAAAAAAAAAAAAAGTCTAATTATGTATTTCATTTGTTAAAAATTCTCATTTACCTGCCTGAATGAAAAACTCAGCTCACTGTAAAAAAAAAAAAAAAAAAAAAAAAAAAAAAAAAAAAAAGCCGGGCGCTGTGGCTCACGCCTGTAATCCCAGCTCTTAGGGAGGCAGAGGCTGGAGGATAGCTTGAGCCCAGGAGTTGGAGACCTGCCTGGGCAATATAGCGAGACCCCGTTCTCCACAAAAAGGAAAAAAACAAAAAGACAAAAAAAAAAAAAAAAAAAAGGAAAAAAATTCTCATTTACCTTTTTCATTCCCAGAGGGAGTTTAAAAGTTTTCTCAGGTGTTTTTTTTTTTAATGGCTGGGTGAGTTCAAACAGAATTCCAAGGCTTAGTTTTTAGAATGCTAGCTACTGAGGAAAAGGATAGGGAAAATCTCTATTCTTTTTTGGCTGTGGAAAATTAATACATTTTCATGAGAAAATGTGGTAGATAATTGGTGAGTTACATAGATTCATGAAAATATCAGTTTGTCTTTTTGCAGGGTAAATTTGTGACAGTGAATATCTCTTTTCAAATCCTGTTATCTTGAGTTCTGAGTTTCATGCTAAATTTTATGAGATCAAACTTGGTACCACCTAGAAGTATTTCCATATGACTAATTGTTTACTACATGATTTTTTTTTTTTTTTTTTTTTTGAGACAGAGTTTCGCTCGTTACCGAGGCTGGAGTGCAATGGCGCGATCTCGGCTCACGGCAACCTCCGCCTCCTGGGTTCAGGCAATTCTCCTGCCTCAGCCTCCTGAGTAGCTGGGATTATAGGCACACGCCACCATGCCCAGCTAATTTTTTGTAGAGACGGGGTTTCACCATGTTGACCAGGTTGGTCTCGATCTCTCGACCTTGTGATCCACCTGCCTCAGCCTCCCAAAGTGCTGGGATTACAGGCTTGAGCCACTGCGCCCGGCCACTACATGATTTTTAATAAAAACAATAAAATAACATATTGTCTAATAGAAATAGATATTTTTGCTTTTCTTATTGAAGTATAAAATGTAAGTATTTTAAAATTTCCTTCCCTTATTTGAACAGTGTGTTTGAGCAATTTTGCTGAATTTTCCAACAAGCTGTTTCAAAAACCAAGTGAGTAACTAACATGGAAATTTAATCAAGCCCAGTGACTAAGAGCTAAGGCTAATATTGAACTTGCAAAAGGAGTTTTTTTTTTTTTTTTTTTTGAGACAGAGTCTCACTCTGTTCCCAAGTGCCAGGCTGGAGTGCAGTGGAACAATCTTGGCTCACTGCAACCTCTGCCTCCCAGGTTCAAGCAATTCTCCTGCCTCAGCCTCCCAAGTACCTGGGACTGCAAGTGCACACCACTATGCCCAGCTAATTTTTGTATTTTTAGTAGAGACTGGGTTTCACCATGTTGGCCAGGATGGTCTCGGTCTTTTGACCTCATGATCCGCCTGCCTCGGCCTCCCAAAGTGCTGGGATTACAGGCTTGAGCCACCACGCCCGGCCACAAAAGGAGGTTTTTAAAAGCGGTTCGTTTTTTTCTGGGATGCCTTTCCTGCAGATGTCTCAGCCTGCTCATCCCAGTTATGGAAGAAGCCTTACTGCTGACAGAATCCTGCAAAGCTGGGGACTTACAGGTAAATTCAGTTAAGGTTAAGATGAAAGGGGACTGACAGGGTCTTACTGGTGATGAAGTTGTTTTTGTTTTGAAGCAGTTCCTAGGCTTTGGAATATAAAACAAAGTTAGATTTTAAAAAAAAATTTCACAAAGAGTACTGCAACAGGAAAAAGTACTAATTATTAAAAACTTCAAGGGCCCAGTGCAGTAGCTCACACATGTAATTCCAGCACTTTGGGAGGCTGAGGTGGGTGGATCACCTGAGGTTGGGAGTTTGAGACTAGCCTGATCAACATGGGGAAA